TTTAAGTGATGAGCTATTTTCTGAGTATGATCAAACCAGCGAACAAGAGAACGATGGCGAGGATGAGGCTGAAGAGATTCAATTGCATGGGAGTGTCGCTGACCAAACATATATGGCTAGTTTAAGAGAAGAAATTGCGACACAATTACAAAATGAATATTGATTGTAGTTGTTATGAGATTTTATTCGTGTTTTCTATTGTGTGTTGAATAAATTGACGTATTTCAATTGAATTTTTGAATGTGTTAAAAATATATGGCAGTTTATAAATGATTTAAATGATTGGATATTTCAGATTTAAATGAAATGAATTGATTCAAATTTCAGACTTCAGCACCACCTGTCAGTTTACTAAAACAAACAGTCTTATTGATTCAGATTTCAGATTCAGATTTTAGATGTAAAAACAAACAGTCTGACTGATTCAGATTTCAGATTTCAGACGTAAAAACAAACAGTCTGACTGATTCAGATTTCAGATTTCAGACGTAAAAACAAACAGTCTGACTGATTCAGATTTCAGACTTCAGCACCACCTCTTAAAATTCAGAAGTGAATTCAGATTTCAGACTTCAGCACCACCTCTTAAAATTCAGAAGCGAATTCAGACTTCAGACTTCAGCACCTCTTAAAAAACAAACGCCACCTAAAGCTCAATAAGAAATTAATAAACTATAGAATCCAAACATTAGATTGCTTTATATAATATTTGGCATAAACGACTATCCTCCAAAATTGGGGAATCATATGCCCTAGAGAAAGGTCAGAGGCGTTCAAGAATGCCCTTGAGTCCTTGACAATGGAGAAAAGGGCCACGTAAAGCCTCTTTTGAAGGGTTATTTGTATAGAACAAACCACCCATCTGGAATTTTTATCGGTCGAAGATCTCCAGGCTAGGATAAGTCAGTATCCTATGATAACCTAGATATCAGCCTAAAGACTTCTAGATCTCCTTATTTATCAATTACACTATGTGGCTCTGTCTTCTCTATACAATCATAAATAGAGACTAAAAGGATGTAATTGTTCGACCTCCCAATGTTTTCTAGGTCTTTTTTTTGCTATATGCTTAATAGGGGACATGCAAAGACTAAAAATCGTACCTTATATGCTATTGAAACCTCCGAAAAGAATTGATCTTGTGTAGAAAGTGGAGATGGAAAAGATTTGTTTTGCTCTGGTTTGCAGGAAACTTGAAGGCGTAAAAGGGAAGTTCAAGAAAAAGGAGTTGATATTTATATGGATTTTTGAAAATCTGTCGCTTGATAGACGACACCTGTTCAGTCGATTCACATCCTTTGCTCGATAGACCACGCCTTTCTACCTAAAGTTGTCATGATATCATGCTAGCACGTTCGTTTCCAATTCAATTTCCATGTAACTGAATCGTTTGAAAGGAAATTGAATCGATTTCCTAGACCCACATGGCATCTTATCGGTAACTACTTTTGGAGAGAGTTTTGAAATTCAAATCTCGGGGGCAAACTGTTTGAATGACGAACTAGGATATTATCCATGGCGATGATATCCTCGACCTATGATAATCCATGATAGTCATGGTTAGGTGACATCGACAACGGACAATTTTGACTAACGACGACAACCATTACTTTTTTTATTTATTGTAGATATCAAGTGTAATAGAAGATTAATGACAAAGATTCATTCATCAATATATGGATTATAACCGATGACCAAGATTCAATAGCACTATCAAGGCTAACTGTTATAGACGTTTTGACCATTAAAATGATGGTTACAAAACCAAGATTACAAATATGAAGATCAACTCATTCCAAAGGACACAGAATACTCTACACCCTCATATGCTCTTGAAGAATCTTTTGCTATTGGAATTTCTGTTTATTCACTTACGACGTGTTTATTAGCGAAGGTCTGTGATAGCGATTATAGTTATTTATTTGGGACGACGTCTCTTATTGACGTCCATAATCTATTGATAATAACTACGATCGGTCGCGGTCAGGGCTTTCCACATCAACAAAATATTTCTGTCATTTCTTTTTCTTTTCTTTATTGTCTCAAAAGGTTTCATCTATAGTTGATAAGCTTCATGACCCAACCTTAAATTACATTGTATAATTTTTGGCATAAACATTATTTGTCATTAAATCACATATTAATGATAGATAACACGATTATATTCCTAATAAATTATGGCATGTTTCTCATTGTGGACGGTCCCGGGTTCCTAATCAATTTTACGTTTTCAACGAACCTGCCCCTAGTCTTATACATATAAAGTTCCATACTATTTTGGAGTTTTCGATTATAACTGTAGGAGAGATGAAAGAGGCCTACCATTTTAAGTCTACTGTTTATCTCTTTGGTTATCAAAGACCTTCCCAATAACTTAAGCTTTTCGAGTTAGCATTAAAGCAAGTAGTCACATGAGCTGAATGATAACCCCCTCCAACCAAAACATGATGAGATTATGAAGAAAAAGGATTACTTAACTCAAAATTTGAAAAGCTCATATAAAGTAACAAATATAAAATCATTTTATGAAAAGATAATCTTTCCATGGGACAAGAGCATTACTTGCTAATCATGACGGTTTTATTATAATCATAAACATAACTTCAATTATAATCGTCTATATTCCCTGCCGGCCTTCTCAAGCATGCTTCATCTTAGATATAATCATTATTGTAGATTAATCCGGTTCATTTATTTTTGCACCTTCGTAAACCTACCGCGATCTCTTCACTTGTAACACGAGACCAAACACAATTTCTTTCAAGAATCATAATAAATTTGATGATAACATGAAATTAGTGGTTTCTTCATCTTGCCCAACTAATCCTGAAGCTAAAGTTACATTAAAGAGCATTTGTACAGGGTAGAACCTCCTCTCCTCGAGGTTGATCCTGAGTTGCCATAGAAGCAAGAATAATATCCTTTAAAAGAATATTTTTGACATAGAAAGTCTCGGTTTCATGATTCCGCCACTCAAATTTCTTGAGGAACAAAGTCATAGTCACATACGTTTAATTAAGGTCAAACCGACTACTCTAAGAATACTCATCCATAAACTAGTTACTCGTACAAATGACATGAAGAAATGTAAGCAATGTATTCAACAAGATTTGAGACCATTATAACTTGGAGGAAATTAATTTGAACTGCAAGATTGTAGATGAAGTTCATGCCAACGTGGTCACAGAAATTAATCCATCTTGGGATGTTATTATGATCTAAAACTTTATCATCTTTTTATCAAGAATAAATGGTACGAATTTAAAGGTACAAAAGGAGAGGACCCAAGGCTTTGCTTTGTGGGATTTCTCCAAAGTTTCTAAATCTGCTTCCATAGTGGTTGGCATGTGTATACCCTCAATATGTCCCTTAGGGTTCTTTCTAATCCATTGCCCACTCCTCTATGCATCAAGCCACTTATCCATTGCCCCACTAAATTGCCTAATGCCATCTGTCAAGGATGATGAGTTCTTAGTTTCGATTTAGATCTAATGATAAAGTAATACTGTATTGGGGTCTGGCTTCTGTCACACATGCATATACATATACATGTACATATAATAATAAAAATGGCAAGTGATTGAAATGATGAAGAAAAAGGCGTAAATGTTGTTATTCTCTTGTACACAAGTTTTTCAAATGGATATAAATGCAATAAAGCTATATGCTTGCTAATCACTTCTCCTGATGGGGTATGGACTATGTGTTGGCAATGGAGATTCTTGATTAAGCAAGTATTCATGTTCATTGGTGTTATATATAAGAGTGTATATATGTCATAGTAAAGTTACCAGTAGATCAAAACCCTCGAATTCGAATGGATTCTGATTATATGCCAACACTTTCCGAAGCCCATCCTGAGACGATGGATCTTCTTTCACGAGCATGGTGTGATTTTGCAGTTAAAGAAGCTTATCAACCGGAGTTTCAAAACCAAGCGCTTGTTCTCCATGAATACTCAATCAACAGTTTTGATGATGGATCCGGATCTCCTAATCTACTGGTACGCATTTATAGCTGACTTTGGATTACCTTTAGAAAACACATGATCACAAACACTAACATGTATAATAAGAAGATGATGGTGCATATGATATATAGAAATAAATTTGCAGAAACTGGAGAGCATAAAGATGGATGATGCAACAAAGCCTTTACCCCCATGGAAGACCAATGATGTCAAGGTAATCACTTCTTTCGGTTTATAGAAACTAACTGATGTGATACGGGCAAACTCATGAGTCATCTTCGTGATATCGTTCAGTCGTGGATATGGATGCAACAGGCAATGCACCCAGAATTGAATTACAGCAGCTGTTTCCGGAAAAAATGGGTATTTAGTTATTAGATTTCTTTCAACGATATGATCTGATCATTAAATGTGTTCTAATACAAGTCTCATCATTTGTGAAGCAACCATGGCATATGATTCCATTCAGATCATCACATCTGTCGATTAAGAAATGGTTGAAAGAAATTAAACGAAAGAGTAAAGAAAACGAGAGGCTACAAAGAGCAGAAGTCCATGCCGCAATATCACTTGCTGGTGTTGCTGCTGCTTTGGCAGCCATAGCTGCAGAGAACTCAAACCACGGTGGGTCGAATTCCAGCACGGCCACAAAGGAGGCAGCAGTAGCATCTGCTACAGCTCTGGTTGCGGCTCAGTGCGCAAAAGCTGCAGAGCTAATCGGTGCAAAGAAAGAGCAGATTAGCACTGCAATGAGCTCCGCCATGAGCGCAACAAGTGCATGCGACATTCTAACTCTCACTGCTGCAGCATCGACATGTAATTGATAGCTTTTTCACTTTCTGATTATATATAGCATCTGCACACGGTTTCATATACGAATATAAAGCTGTTTGAAAGCGAAAATCAACCATCATTCTTTAGGATCTTAAACTTATGTTTCGATCATTTTCTTAGCATTACGTGGAGCTACAACACTCAAAACAAGATCAGCATACAAGAACAGGCTAAACACCAATGTTCCTGTACTGCCTATTGAAGAAAATACTGATCTAGAGTTCGACTTTGAGAAGTGTCAATTAATTCTAAGAAGAGGCACTGAACTCAGCATCAAGACATCAGACGGCAAGCAGATTTCCATCTTTTGATTTATTTATTTTTGTGGGTGCAGTCCTTGATTATAAATTTTTATACCGACCTCCATTATTTGTTCAACAGGAAGATGCGTGATGAGATCAGTATCTGTTGTCTTGAATCATGAAGCCAAGGTATAATTTTAGACAACGTTTTGGTGTATGGTGTGTAGCTCAGTTGGCAAAGAAGTGAGGTATCTTTGTCCAAGTACACGACAAATCCGGGTTCGATCCTAGCCCCGCTTGTCTCGACCACTGAATGAGTCAAAAAATATCCCCTCATATTGACCGTTGGTTCTATGTAGGACCAGTTGGGGTTGACGGTTTTCCCCCAAATTTTAGACAACATTTTTGTACCAACTTTTTGAAATTATATCTTCATCCCACCACACCCTATAGACACCACATGTCGTGCAATTATATTCGCTTAAGCCCCGTTTAGTTTGCGAGATTGGTAGGATTTAGAGTCGCATTTCATTCTAATATTGTGTTTTGTTTTAATTGTTTCTATCGCATCTCTAACACGCCTCTTTAATCAAATCTGTTTTAATCTCTTCATTGCCTCCACATCTTACCGTAACAAACAAATTATTTATAAGAAAACAAATGTTTATAAAAAATTAAATTTAATTCCAAATCCTACAAATAGGGCTGTAAACGAACCGAACGTTCATCGAACCGTTCGGCGGAAAGTTCATTTATGTTCGTTTATTTAATAAATAAATGAACATGAACAATTTTTTTTGTTCGTTTAGTTAAACGAACGAACATGAACAAGATTCCCGTTCGTTCATTTATGTTCGTGAACGTTCGTTCATTTACAGTTCGTTTATATTCGTTCGTTTATGTATTAAATTTAATATATAATCTTTTATTTATTTACTTTGAATTCAAATAATATTTATTTATGTTTCTTTAACTTCTTCGTTTATGTTCGTTTAGCCCGTTCGTTTATGTTCGTTAGTTTACGTTTGTTTAGCATGTTAACGAACATAAACGAACACGAACACACCTTATTTCTAAACGAACGAACACGAACACAAAGATTGTCTTTTGTTTACCCTTCGTGTTCATTCGTTTGTTCGGTTAAGTTAAACAAACGAGCATGAACAAGCCTTTGTTCATGTTCGTTCGGTTCGTTTACAGCCCTACCTACAAACCAAAGACACGAAAGATTTCAAATCCTCTCAATTCCAAACGTTCTAAAAGATTCAAATCCCTCAAAAACATTCCGTCAAACCAAACGGCGTCCCCTTAAATTAATCTGGTCGTTAACTACTATTTTTACTCAACAGGTGATTATGAGAACAAGGAAGCTTCATTTATTGAATGCATTTGCTAGCAAAAAGGAAAGTACGTTTATGCATTAAAGTCTCATTACATAATTATGTTACTCTTGAAGCCATTCAATTGTGCATTTCAATGATTAATGATAAAGTCCTATATCTATTTTTGTCACAGGTGTTGTGTTAGACCAGCATGTGGAGCTCTACAAGAACTCTGAAGACGATGGAGACACTTGTTTCCTCATCGTCTTAACGACTACTCGAGGGATAATTAAAATGGATATGATGAACGATGATCAATGTTACAAGATATGGGCATGGACTCTTAATCACATGCTCTCACTTTCAACTTCGTTCACAAAATATTCACTTCCATATCATAGGAACTAAGAACGACAACATTCTCTTGGTTTATCGATCTATCTTGCATTGTCATCTTTATTGTGTAATTATGAACATATTGTTTGCTGAAAACATAATAATTTGCATTATTTAATGGTTTGATCCGGCTAAAGTTTTTGTTATTTGGATTGGTGACTAAACGTTTGTAATTAAAACGTAATGTAGATGTGGGGTGTAAATTTTTATTACATCGACTACTAAACATTTTCTACTGATCTACTAATTATTAATTAAAAAATGATTAATCCAATGTGTATAGTTGAGTGGGAAAAAGTTAGGTTAGATCCAATAGTAATTAATTTTCCTAGATAATGAAGTTTGTAACCTTGAGGGAGGGGTAACATCATCTTCAACTATGTTATTTTAGAAATTTTTGAAGATTTGGAAAAAACTTGCAACAACAACTATGTTAAACTCACTTTTAAATTAGAGGATGAAAGTGATGATGGACAAATCTCTAGTTTTGGAAAAAGAGAAAAAAATATTGCATACGTGTTGGTTATGGTCTAAGTAAGATTATGTGTTCTTCACCGGAGACTCTGGGAATTGGAATGGTGAATTTCATTTGGGTGTTTGGCTCATTCTCTAAGATTTAATATGGAATTTCAAATTCATATGTGATTGAATTTAAATTTATTGGGTTTTGTTAAGCATTTCCATCTCCATTTCATCCAATCTTTTGAGAAAGACCACCGCCAGCACTGCCATTGACACCATTATTAGAAAATGATGATAGAAAATACAACAAAAGGACAAACTACGAACGTGATAATCACTGTCCGTAAGGATTCATAGACCCCACTATTTGCATCGGTGGTTTGTAGAGTAGATTCCTCCTCGAATTCCATCGATTTAAAGTATTACACGAGCTCGTAATACCTTCTATGAACATGAGATCAAGTAAAAAAAAATGTGTATACTGGAGCTTTTAGTGATTAGTATGTGTAAAGAAATAATGATGGTGATAGAAAAACCTAAATTGTTGTTGTGCGTATGTATGTATGTATGTGTGTATGTCTATCTGTATGTATGTACGTATGTGTGTATGTATGTCTTTCTGTATGTATGTATGTATGTATGTATGTATGTATGTATTGATGTGTGTATGTATGTATGTATGTATGTATGTATGTATGTATGTGTGTGTGTTTGTATGTGTGTATGTGTGTATGTATGTATGTATGTATGTATGTATGTATGTATGTATGTATGTATGTATGTATGTATGTATGTATGTATGTATGTATGTATGTATGTATGAGTGTATGTGTGTAGTGTGTCTATATGTATGTATGTACTTATGTACGCATAGTAGTATACATCTATATATGTTGTCTACATATGTATGTATATATGTACCTATGTACGTATATATCTACATATGTATGTGTGTATGTATGTATGTCTTTATGTATGTATGTATGTATGTCTTTATGTATGTGTGTATGTATGTGTGTATGTATGTAGGTAGGTAGGTATGTACATATGTATGTATATGTATGCCATTAACGCAATAAACATCATTGTTAACATTTCAATAAGAGCAATAATTCTACGTCTTCATATCACAAAAAAATGTTAACGCTGAATTATCACATTTTATGGATGTGACAACAAGAGTTATAAATGTAACACATATCTCACAATTGCCACCCTTATCCGAAAGTACACCTCTCCTTGATATGTCATCATTATCCCAAGGTACATTTCTCAAGAACTTTCTTTAGTTCTAAACCCAGTTTCAAATGTCATCTCAAATAGCTTTTAAAAAACAGTTAACCTTACTCAATAGTTTTTGAAACAAACAGACCCTTCCTCAATTCAAAACAGCTTTTGAAAGAAACAGACTGGGCAATAACAGCCCTCTTTGGACATCATATAGGTGATGACTGCCCTTCATCGGACAACACTTGGGTGATGAACCCCTCACCGGTCAATACTTGTGCAATGAACTACCCTTACTGGATAACACTTGGGCGATAAAACACCTTTACTGGTCAATACTATGATCGGTAAACATCCTCACTGATCAACACTATCATTGATAACATCCTCATCGGTCAACACTTGAAATAATAAAAATTCAATCCAGACAATACTTGAAATCATAAACACTCAATCCGGATGATGCTTTGTCCGATAACATCCTCACCGGACAAAGCGTTTGGGCGATGAACACCCAATCCAGTTACTGCCTTGTCTGATAAAGGTCCTCACAGGACAAAGCTTTGTCCAATAAAGGTGCTTATCGGACAATACTTCATACGATAAGGGTTCTCACTGGAACCTGCCTTGTGCAATGAAAAACTTAACCAAATATGTAGACTTTTAAAACTACTAACATGTAACACAATTTCAACCAAAAAGTGATATAAGCAGATTCATAAAAACAGTATAAAACTCCACTTATAAGCAACAATTTCAAGATGAATTTTTCACAGCAATACAGAATTAGCTTACCAATTCACACATAATTTTTTTCTCTCCTTACTGCCTTTCACAAAATGGTAAGAAGAATGTCTTCTTAAAAGAAATTCAACCTTATATACTTTCCAAATCAAGCGGTGGAAAGTTCTAATATTTAAATTCCCTCACCTCACATTCATATATATATATATATATATATATATATAAACATACATGCATCATATATGTTTTAAATAATCGCATTACACCTAATACACAATTACTTTTAAAAGAATTTACTCAACCAACATTAAAAATTACCTCAAATTATATAACTGGAATCCGATTATCACAGTTTATAGAATGAATAATACATCAAGTGATAAAGAAAAAAAATAATACCTAAATTAGTATTATGATAGTAAACCTGAAAAACCATCTTATTGAATTGTAAGATCCGAGTTTTAAAAATTTATTTCTTAATTACTCGAATTGTACCTTATTTGTAATAACGATAAATAATTGTTAAGGGGTTAAAACCGTCAAATTACTAAAATTCTTATAATTATAATTAAATATATATATATACACTTAAAGTATTAGAGTAAATTACTATCATCATCGTCAGTTTTCTTTATATACACCACCTATTTTTTTTTCTCTTTAAAAACTCTCGTATTCTCTCTAAAATCTCTAAAATCGTTAAAAAGATCAAGGTAGCAATTATATATTTCGTATCCACTCTCGAACCCTTCCTAAAGGTATAAATTTCATTCACTTTTATTAAGGTGTTTACGTTAGGGTTCTTGAGACTGGTATAATTAAGTTTATGTCTAAGTTTACGGATCGATGTTGTTAAAATTATGATATATTTCGTACTTAGAATGCTAGAATTGGTTAAATTGATGTAAAAATTAAAAGGGTAGATTATGGTTTCAATATGGTTAGATTGTGGGTACATATTTAACCACACACCAATTGTTCAATATATATAATGTTGAAAAGAGTAAAATTGCATGATTAAGCTTAGGTTAGCGATCATTGGACTTGTTTTACTATTTTGTATGTTGAAGTATGTTTATAGCATGTAAATGTAGTGAATCATGGAAGTTGGATCATAAAAGTTAGTCTGGAAATGCGGAATCTGATTTTACCGACAATACAGCTCCCGTACTTTGACAGTGTATAACTCACAAACCGTAAGTCGGAATAAGCTCATATTTTGCAACTAGAAATCCCTTAATGAATAATACTACTTTCATGAAGGGTCGAAAATCCATTTATGATTTTAAGTGGCTCGAAACAGTTTTTTCGGGGTTGTTTGCACTATATTCGGGATTAATCTGTTGTTTTGTAAAATTCGTATAAAATAGATAGATAATTCAAATGAGGTGATTCTAAAACTTGTAGATTCATCATATTATCATACTACAACTTTCACTTAGATAGTATCTTATGTATTGACCTCTAAATGGGGTAAAAATTCTCTCGAAAATGAGGGATAGAAGCTGTGAAAAGCCGAGAACGGAATTATATAAAGCTAATTTTGTGTTTGAGTTCTTAATGCGTATCTGACTGTCCCATTTGAAGTTTAAGTTGTTTATAAACATGTAGGAGTTAAGTAACTTACTAGTAGAACTAGGATATGGTTTTATGTCGTTTAAGTAATAATCGATTTGCACATTCGTTAGGCACGCGAGCAAGTCCAACTTTACCATGAATCACGTTCGATCGTGCTTTACTTCTCTATTCCGCCTAAGGTACGAATTTCACTTCTTTTAACTCTTGAGAAACTATTTGTTTTAGATGACCCTTCCTAAAGGTTGTTCACCACTTGGTGATTGATCAACTGAATGTGATCAACAAACGTGTAATTATACAGAAACACACACATACACACACACACACACACACACACATATATATATATATATATATATATATACTACATATATAAGCATTTAGGTCATTATCTTAATTACAACTCTTGAAGCCTAAAGTACTACCATTTTATGCAACAATTTCAAAAATCTCTTAATTACAAATTCTTATGCATAATGTACAAKCTTTTTATGCATCTKCTTTCCAAAGACCAAAAATTACYTATGTTGGGCCGGTTTCTTCTTTMGGTTTCTTCCTCTTCTATCTYCTACCTCTGCTAYCACCCAAGACCAAAACTTTTCTTCTCTTCTGTATCATTTCTCTGCACCAGCAACATTTTGGGTTAGAAAGCAGAGGTCTTTCTTCTTCACATACCTCGTTTGGCGTAACAATGGTGTTGTGGATGTATTACCTCGATCAGAGAACTGATTTCATGTATCAAAGGGATTTGATGTATCAAAACCTCATTGATTCAAATAGCTCCCTCCTCCCTGTTGATTTAATTTCACAGGTTCTTCAAAACCCCAGAATTTGGAGGTATGCTCTTCTTTTTAGTATATGCTCTATTTCAATTTTGAATTCTGCAACCCCTTCTGATGAGATTTTAACTTTCTTTATTCTTTCTGCTTTAACGATCGATGAAGGAAGCCAAGGCTATTTACAACTTATAGGTAAGAATCTTCTTTTACATTGCTTTGAAAATTTGAGGTGCTGTGTGTGGTTTTTATTAGAATAAGCCTTTTTCCTAAAGWCATCTTCATTTATGTCTACCT